CGTTATTAGTATGTACAAAATTCTGTAATATTCTTCATAATGAAAAACCTTAAAAAATTTTATAAAATTCTTATAATTAACACAAAATTCTTATAATTATATATAATTATAAGATTGATTACTCGACAGATATCATTATTCAATTTGAATTTACACCAAATGTTGATAACGAAATGCTACAGAAAGGTTGTACATGAATAATTTGTAGATGGCGGTAAAATGATTAAGATGAGTTTATTACGTATACATAACCTCTTCAACTGTTTTGAACAATTATAAAGTACACTATCTATTTTATATAATTAAACGGTCAAAAAAAAAAAATTAATTCTTCCGGGTTTCTGATAATATTGTAATCTAAGATATATCGTCTTTTATTTTTATAATTATTTAAGTTTTTTATAAATAAATCGCGCGTTTCATGGAGTACTTAATCAGCTGAGGATAAAAGGCTGTTTTTCTAAGTAAGTTTTGTTTAAAACATTTTTTATATTTGATTATAATTGGACATATAACTGTATGTTCATGTGAAATATTGATAAAAAATTTAACTTTTTTTTACATTAATATTTTTATGCGAAATTTAATATTATATATAATGTGTACATAATTTCTTATTTGTTAAATCTATTCTACAATTGTTAAACCTATTCTGCACTCTTTGTTTCTTGTTTTTATCTTTGTTTTTTTTCTCTTTTGCAATCATTTTATCGACAATTATATTTCTTGTTTCTTTCAAAGTTAATTTATTAATTTTTATTTCGGGCGACATAAAAACTGGATAAGAAGCAAGAAAACAAGATGTAAGAAATAGTAAAAAGCAAATAATAAGAAAAAGCACATTGTAGAATAGGCTTTAGATATGAGTGTTCCTAATATTTTAAAGAGAAATATTAGATATAACCGTATTTTAAAGTATTTTAAAGAAAAATAGAATATTATTGATTATTTATAATATGTTTAATTATTTATTAACAGAGCTACCGAGAAGTTTTATGTGTAAAATCAGAAAATACATAGCTATATATTTTATTCAAAACAATTTCTATTTCCATTATGTTGATTACTTCCCAATATGTTTTACACATATCTTCTAATATACAAAATATGTGCCAATCGGTCATTAAAAGACATTTCTCGAAGATTAATAAAATTGAAAGATTGATGAAAGAATATAAGTCGCTATTCGGTCCATTAGCTGAAACAAAAGCCCAGAAGAAGAAAAGATTAAAATTAGAAAAGAAAAAAAAGATACCCTGTGAAAAATCAAATATGACTAATACAGAATTGTTTTGGGTTATGGAAAATACTCGCGATAAATTCAAGAAGATTATAACACTCACTACACAATCACGAAAGGAGCAATTAAATGATAAAGATCAGAGTTCTATAAAAAATGTTAGTGAGATGGAAATTGATAACTCAACTGACCAAACTACAGAAAGACATTTACATTCTGAATCTAGTCAAGTTGCTAAAGAAACAGAACTTGAGTTTACTAATAAAACATCTAATTTATCAACAAAAAATAGTGATAATAAAGTTGAATTGTCTAATTCAAATGTATCTAATGAAAACACAGCCACAAAATGTACGTCTTCTAATTTTAAAAGATTACCTGATATTATTATAAAGAATTTGCTATCTTTTCCAATCATGGATAGCAAACAAGATTTTCCCATACAATCAACAGAAATATTATCTATATCTGGG